TAAAAAATTTCTTCCTTATGTCCAGTCTAAGTCTACCCTCTTTCAGTTTAAAACCATAAAATGTATTCCTCTTACACGTGGAATTATCTGGCTTTAAAGCCTATGCATCTAAATCTAGCCTCTCTTGGCACTCTATGCTCTGTATGTACGTTTTCTACACTGAATGAAACTATAATTGTATACTAAATAAAATAATAATATTGACATTATGTATTTCCACATTGCTTTCATTTTCTGAAGGTTCTAAAAGCCTTCTAAAATGAAAGTGCATACAAAAGGCTAACTGAAGGACAGCCCAAAGCAGAACACAGCTTACCAGGAAACTGTGCTGGCATACCAGTGCACGCGAGGTGCCTGTGACGCTTGGACCCCTGAGGACACAGGGTATCGATGCTTCACAGCAAGGCAGGCAGATTCTCAAGCAGAGAAACTCTACCTCCTAACTAGGTGGCCAGCCAGGCAAAAGACTGGTAGCTCACAGCTCCCAGTGGTATATGTGCCCGCTGGCCAGTTGGCTAGAAAGCTAGGAGGTACTGGTGTTTGACTGCCCAGGGATCCGTCCTAATAAATACTGCCCACCAGGCTTGAGCTATACCAGACAGCACATGCTGTGGTATGGCAAGCCTGTGCACGGTCAGCAGCTAGGAAAAGCGGAGCAAAGACTTGGTGGGAAGAAGTCCAGTGGGAAGGAGCGGCATGCCTGGCATCAGTAGCTTGGAGAAGTTCATGCCCACCCACTCTTCCTACCATGGAAAACAGTCTCCCCTGGGGGATGCCCCCCTAGAGCGTTTTGCCAAGTCGGTGCTTATAAAATAGGGCAATGCACAACTCACTAAATGGAAACTACAGGAGGAGTTAAGGCAGACAGGATTTAATTAGCTGCTTTGAAATCTGGCCAAGAGAGCAGCAATATACAAGACCTTCTTCTTCCTTTTAAAATAATGTTTTATTGATTCTATACTGATGAATAAAGGATCAGGATAAGGCAGGCTATGCATTTGCTGTTCAATTAGTTTTTAGCAGAAATTCTTATTTTTGACTTAAGATTTTTTGCAACATAGACTGACAAGTTTGAATTGTCCTTACAAAAATTAGGGAGGAGAAGAGAAAGGGATTGTTTTGTATTTTTGCCAGAACAAAATAAGTCAGCATTCGATTATGGAGTGAGGGAGTGCCTTCTGGTTTGCTGATTTTTTTTTTTAATTATTATTTTTTTGGTTTTCACCAGAAGCTGATTTTACCACTCATCTCCATGGTGCCGTCTCCAGCAGCAGTCTCCCTAGCATGCTGGGGCAATGTATTTGTACAAAGTAATGAGAAGCCAAATTTCAAACCGGAGCCTGCAGTGGCTAATTAGGTGCTTAAATATGGACTCAGCTGCCATCCAAGTTTGAAA